GGGTGAGGCTATTAGGGGTTGGAGGAGGCCTCATAGGGGCTCCATGGTAGTGTGGGGACCCCGGTGCCAGAGAGGGCACAACATTCAGGGGTGCATGGACCCCAGCCCTGAGAAGGGGCGCAGAGGATTGGGGGCCAGGTAAGGCTGAGGCTGCTTGAGCCCGACAAGAACTTTAGACCCGAGGAGGGGATTTTGGGGCCAGGCACGGCTACGGCCACCTGAGTCCCACAGGGTGGGCGCAGGCGAGAAGCCCCACAGGGTGGGTGCTCACTTAAGGCTCAAGGAGGGGATTCAGGGGCCAGGCACGGCTACGGCTACGGCTACGGCCACCTGAGCCCCAATTGTGAGGAAACCCCAGTGCGGGCATGACCGCGAGAGAGGCCAGGGAGCATCCGCGGGGAGCGTGGGCAACTGCAGGAAAAGAGAGGCCAGGGAGCATCCGTGAGGGCGCAGCAAGGGAGTGACCCTACAACGTCCGGTACGTCTGTGAGGCTTGGGGCATGGTATAGGGATGATAGGAGCCACACACAGCCCATAAAGCTGGGGTGCACCAAGTCAGTCAATACAGAACAGGGGCCAAGATAAACAGAGCACCGTTGTCCAAGGGGACAAAAAGGCAGCCTCCCTTATAAAATACCTAACATCAAAGACTTGGTGGGTGAGAACAAGGGTGCTTTATCCTGGACTTGGCACGGTAGGGGGCGTCTGGAGAGATCACGGCCACTCCTAGGACCCTGCCCTGTGACAGTGACAAATAGTGAGAACAAATGACAGTAGGTTTCCAATGCAAAACTTCCAGCCCTGTGGCAACACTGCAGGCCAGCAATGCCAAAAATCTTCTCCTGCCTGGCTTTTGCCAAAGTGAGACAGAGGGATGCTTGGGATGAACTTATGGTTTTAGGTGGTACCATATGATTCTTGGTTCTGACGTCAAATCAGCTGTAGTTCAGTGGTTTTGCCTGAGTTTTTCTTTAAGTGTTTGAGGTTTTTTAGACCTGAAGCTCAAAGGAAAACCCAGGATAGAGTAGAAAGAGAAACCTCATGCAAACAAATACCACTGAACTTCCCACAGCTCTGCTTTTTTTTCTGTGCATAGTGCCATTCATCTTGAAGAGTTCCCTTAAGCTTTAAAATCTATATTAGAAAAGGAATCCCTTAAGCATAGCGACACACACACATAATTGAATGCAACCTCTTTAGTTTGCCAAGTTAGTCTGAAGTTGAATAGAAGGCAGGTGAAGTCAGTCTGAAATTTGGCTGCCTGTCTTTGGAGTGCAAGGTGGTCTATAGCATAGTGTACATTCATGGAAAGTGGGAAAACCATTTGACAAGGACACTAAACTAAACTCTTTCAAAGGCTCATGGGATCTTTAATAGCTACAGAAAATAGTAAAGGCCTCCTTTTGTAAGCTCTAATTGGAATGACTCATTTGCAGGACCTTCTGAATCTCCATTTATCTATCCTAGAAAAACAGACAGCCAAGCTGACACACGGCTCAAGGGAGAGCAGGGATATAGCAGACTGTCTAGGACCTAAGCCTCAGTTAGCCATTATGCTCAGATAGACAAAGGTCCTCCCAGGGCTACTGCCTAGCTGGCTGAAAGGGAAAAACAAGGGAAAGCCCTGAACTGGCGGGTTCCCCAAAAATGACTCACTAAAGAGGAAAGGTACAAAGACCTCTGCAGATGAAGAGCCAAATCCTGGCCCACATGCTCAGCTATCAGAGGCCAGTCACAGCTCTTGGTCCTCACCAGGCTCTGCACTCAGGGTGCCAAAAGAGATCAGGAGCTGCCCTCAGTAGTGGCTGTGAAGCTGTCCTTTGTCTGCCCAGTGCTGACGCTTCCCATGCTAGTGGCACTGAAGATCAGCTATTAGATGGGGATTGACTGGCCTACAGAAATTTTGAGTGGACTTGAGGACAACACAAGCCTGGCATGCCCCTCTCAGCCACATAAACCCCTGTTTTGGAGGACTCAAGATGAGTCTTTGCACTCTTCTGGTTTCCCAGCATTGCTGCAGCACTGTCCAGGTAGACGAGAGGTGTCTGGACATTTTGGTTATATTTATCTGCCAGCACAGTGAGTGTGAGCACAGTGGCAGGGCACACCCTGTGGTCCACACAAAGCCAGCAGCTCCATAAACTGGCAAGCCCAGTTACAAGTGAAGCTGGCATGAGTGGGTGAGACCTAATTCTTGGTGGCATGCCCAGTATCATCCAGGATGCTGTGCATGCATGCCCCATAGAACCTCACTTAAATAGAGAAGCCCTTTCCATAGAATCAGGGAGAAGTAGGGCTGGAAGGGACCTCCAAAGGTCATCTAGTCAAACTTCCTGCCTGTGGCAGAATTATCCCTATCCAAACCATCGTATATAAATCCATCATCTAAACTCTTTGTAAAATTACTGTCGACCTTGGCACAACACCAGACATAACACCCTAACCTGCTACAGGTTAAGTAGGGGAACCACAGCAGCCAATGTCCTGCTTCTATAAAAAGTTGTTAATGTATGCTCAGGAGATACCAGGTAGAGGGCCATGTCCCCTGCTACAGAGGAACCTCTACTCTATACTATACATTCTGGTACTCCACAGTTCTTGACCATGTACTTTGTGTTCCTATCTGTAGTAGGCTGGCTGTCCTCAGGATCAGTAAGACTGACACAGACGTCCCCCCCTCCCCAGGTCTGGGGGCTTCTACTTTCCCTGAAAACAACTACTGTACCTTAAAGGCTCTTGCATGGTGATCTTTATGCATATGATTTAGCCCCTTCTCCTGATTTCTCTTCAAACTTCTGACTCTGTGGAATCCAGCTGGCTTAGACAGCTGTTCTCCCTTCCCTCACCAATATCCATCAATGAACAGAACCTGCAGCTGCCTGAAAGTTTCAAGCATCCCTGAAGACTTTTGGATAATTAAGGTCCTCTACTGCATGTCAAAGCCACAGCTTACACATTACCAAGCCATAATGTCTGATCAGTGAAGTGATCTATTAAGGATGGGAAGGTGAGCAACAGTAATGTATCTGGAATGGCTAATGACCTAATTCAAAGGAGGTTTTTCAGCTGTGGTTCTTTGATTGCATGGTAATAACACCACACCAGCTAGTGTAGAAGCTTTAAGGATGAAAACTGACATCAGTAAGAACAAGTCAATATTCGATAAAAATCCATTAAAACCTGAGTTGCAGCAAGTGACTTCCGCTGTGACTAAGAAAACTTCCATGTCCAAATGTTAAACTGATGTATGATGTTGTTTGCCCCGGTAACTATCTCTTTTTGATATGGATGGGGTGCTGAATACTTTATAGCAGTGATGACTGTGTTCACTTCAAGGCAGCAGGTTAAAAAACATCCCAGAAAACACTTTGTCTTTCAATTCAGCATTATGTAATATTACAACTTGGCTATCCACTTCTTTGAATGCTTTACCAACTGATGACAGGAGCAAAAAGATGTTTCATTTAAAAAAGTGTTGTTGAGTTTTGGGGGGGGTTGTTTTGTTTTGTTTTGTGGTTTTGTGTTGATTTTTGGTTATTTTATTTCACTGGAAGATAATGCTTCATCAGAAACAACACTGGAAGCTGAAATGGAAGAAGCCATTGGGGAACATGACAGTGAGCCATCTCACAAATTCTCAGTGAAGCCTAGGCATATATTCAGACCGTCAGATCTTAATAGAACATAATGTACTCCAGAAAGGGTAGAGATAATGTATCCTAATGTATTCAATATTTGTCTTTCATGTAAGGTTAAGAATTATTCCATATGTTTCAGTCTAACACTAAATTAATTTTGGTTGGAAACCATCATACATTAATTATCAAATAGAACTAAGCTACAGCTCACTTGTTTTCCTACGTTATTAGATGTCTGCTGTGAGACAGTTATGTTGCAGCATTTCATTTATAACAGCTATAGCTAACATATTAATGATGTCTCTGCCAACTTCCCTGGATAAGGCTCAGGTTTAAGAAAAAAAAATCTAGGTTTAGGGAGACAAAATTAAATAATCTGGCCATCAAAAAATTTACACAATGAATGTCAAAGGCTGTCATGTTCAGAGACACTAAGGGTATGCCTGAGTAAAGATGACAGGGGTTAGCCAAAATTCATCCACATTTTGGGCCAGATTTTGAGAGGGCTTGAACACATCTAACTCCCATTGGAACTTGTGTTTTGTTTGTAACAGTCCAGCTTTCAATACAGTTTTGAACAACAGTTGCTCATACTTATAGCTTTCATTTCTTCTGAGGGTGGAGGCTTATTATGCAAATTTCACAGTTTAAATAAATACTATGTAAATAATATTGCTAAAATAAAAGGCAAGAGACAAAGGAAGCTAAAAACTGTAATGGCCCATAGCATATTTTCCATTAATGGAAAGTGGGAATAGGTATGACATATATATATATATATATATATATATATACACACACACATATACACACACGTATATATATATACACACACACACATGCGCACACACGCACACACATAGAGAGAGTGCGCGTGTGTGTGTGTGTGTGCACACCTGTGTGTGCATTGTGATGGGGGGCATGTTGTAAAGCTGCTGTACGCAGTGAATATACAGACAATATATATATTGGTGGAATTAGGTGGAACTTCCCTGAGATCCTTTGGTTAAAAAAGCTTCCATTCAGTGTAGCCTAGTTCAGTGGTTTTCAAGCTTTCTGATGATGATGATTATGATGATGATGAAGCGAGTGTTGCCACACTCATATGTTGGAAGCATGAGGACCAGAAAGCCAGCTACAGGTAGAATGGTCAATGCGAATGCCACTGTTAAGGCTGGAATCCACTAACTTAGTGTACATGCTCTGGCTCCATACAGATGCAGAGCATGCAGCAGGAGCATATGTAAATACCAAATCAGAGGTCATAGGTGGAGATAGAAAATATTATTTGATGGAGCAGAGCACCGCCCGCTCCCCCACCCCGCCTGCCAGCGGGTAAGTCTGTCATGGGGAAGGGGCATGGGTGGGGGGCAGATTGAGTGGGGCAAAGGCAGGGGCTGGGGTGAATGGGACCCCAAGCAGCTTGTCCAGGGGCATGCGGGGGAGAATGGGGGAATCCTGCTGCTGCGTACACCCTGGTAAAGGCCTGGGAGACAAGTGCCCCCCCAATCTGTGCATGGGGTGAGGGTGGACTGCCACTGTGGGCTAGGACTCTACACCCTGCTGCCTTTGCCCTGAGAGCCATGCAAAAGCATGTGCCTGCCACCGCCGAGTGGGCAGGGGACAGGGCACAGCCTGGCAGCAGAACACACACAGCATCGCACTGCTTCCAGGGCAGCAGCAATGGGGTGCAGAACCCCAGCCCGCAGTGGCAGCCTGCCTGTGCCCCATGCACAGATCAGGGGGGCACATGCCTTGCCTCCTCAGAGCGCACACAGCAGTGGGAGCTCCCCTGCACCTCTGGATGAGCCACCAAGACTCTGATGGTTCCATGACCTGCCCTGGGGCCCCACTCACCCCAGCCCCTATCCCTGCCTCTGGCAACTCCCTCCCACTTTGTAGGGGGCCTCGATCTATGCCCCCCACAAACCCCCTTCCTCTTCAGAGTAGACTGAAATGCCTGGCTGCCATGCTGTGCAGTAATCCACACACAGGGGCTTTGATCCTGGCTATGTGTCTGAGTGTGCACACCTCTTCCTGCCCCGCCTCCCCCCGTAGCAGCCCAGAGCCTGTGGCTGGGCTGCCCTGTGGCCCTACTTGCTGTCCCACCATTTGTGGGGGGCCTAAGCCCCATTAGCTCCGGCCTTCTGCCACCTATGCTGGAGGTGCAAAGTATTTGGAAACTTGCAACCCAAGTGATGCCAGGAAGGCGATGGATAAGAGCTCCTCTGCTGCTAAACTTACCCTGGACCCCTTCCAGATGATGGTGGTAGGTAAAGATCTTAAATAAGTAACAGTGTAACAATGTTCAAGTGTCTAGTCACCAAGTTGGATTTTTATTTTTCTTCACTTAATTGCTATTTGGATGGAAGGCTGTTGCCACTGTTTCAGTGAGGCTGAGGTGGAGACGCCATTTATGGAAGTCGTCAACAAGGGTGTCCATGTCTGATGTCAAATTGGACTCAATGGCTTCCCATTGCTTGCTTGATTTGGTGAGAGCCAGGTCATTAGCATAGCCATACTTCTTGGACTGGGTGTCAGGCAGGTCGACAATGTACACATTGAAAAGCAATGGAGAAAGTACTGAGCCTTACAGGATGCCATTCTTTACACTTGAAGGGTGGCTTTTCTGTTCATTAGGGGTGTGCAAATTGGGCCTTGTTCAATTTGAATTTGGCCCGAATCAGGGACAGTGTTTCGATTAATTGATTTGGATCGCTGTCCCTGATTAGATTCAGCAGAATCAAAATCTGAAGATCTGATGCTGATTTGAAGAATCAGCAATTCAGACATAGGCACAGCTTTAAATGTTTTTTCTATGTACCTCAAGTTACCAGCCTGGCTCATGAATGCTATGATGCTGGGCTGGATCCCACAGGAGCACAGGGGGGCCACCCCATGTACTTGGTGGTGAACCCAGAAGTGGACTGGAAGTACTTCTGGTCCACTTACGGGTCCACCAGAGAGTGCACGGGGGGCTGAGGGGGGCCGCACCCACCTGGCTTGGCAATCAGCTACAAGGGGACTCTGGGTGCTCCCCAGACCCAGGAGGCCCCTCGCGCACTCTCAGGCAGACCCAGAAGTAGATCGGAAGTGCTTCTGGTCCACTTCCAGGTCTGCTGCTGAGTGTGAGACACTCCATCCACTCCAGCACTGCAGCATTCATGAGCTACCTGCTACCTAGAGGTACGTAGAAAAAACATTTAAAGCTGTGTCTATGTCCAAATCGCCAAATCTTTCCGAATTGTTTCAGAGGGTTCCATTTCAATTTGGAGAGATTAAAGGGTTTCCTGATTCGATTTAGATTTGGAGATTTGGCCACTGAATTGAGCCGAATCTCCGCCAAATCAAATCAAGGACCAAAGCTTCGTACAGCCCTACTGTCCATTGAGGGTCTTGAGAAATTTCATGAGGCTCCTCCAGCATATCATGGCATTGGTTTCATTGCTTTTTTTGGTGTTACTGAAAGAGTCAGAGAAGAGTGTGCATACACTGTCAATGACAAAGTAGTAGCCTTTCCCTTCCATCTAGTGACTGAATTTTAAGGGCTCACCCATTAAGCCAATTTCCTTCTTATCTCTCACATCAAAATAAAAACACTGTGGGTGTATCTACATGTGCAATTAATGCAATGTGATAAACTTTGGAGCAGTTTGTGCCAGTATTCGCTACTCCCAGATGCAGCGTCGACACGTACGCCTAATGCAGCAGCACTTTGAGCCAAGGCAAAGCAGCCCCAGGCTGGCAGCAGGCTTAGGGGTCAACCCTGAGCTTCAGGTGACTATGTTGAGGCTGGCTGGGGAACAAGAGTGCTTTAACTGTGAAGCCATGTGGCTGAACCCCCAAGCCTGTTGCCAGCCTGGGACTGCTCTGCTCTGGTTCAAAGTGCTGCTGTCTTGGTCACCATTCACACGTGCATTACAGCACAGTAAATGACTCTGCTGTAAGATAGTCGTCTCCCTGACAGTACTCTTATGACTGAGTAAATGAATTTACTACACCCAAATACCTGTGCATGTGTAGATGGGGATGCTTTACTGTGGAGCTAATTAGTCTACTCTGCAGTAAAGCACACATGAAGATGCACCCTGCATGCAGCAGGTTTTAAATATTTCTCTCCTGCATACTGCAGCTCTGCCACCAGTATCACAGATACTGATGCAACAAAATCCCTTTCCTTTTTTCTTCTCACCTACCAGGATCTGTGTTATTGAAGCATGAAATATAGTCACATGTTTAAAATACATAGTTGAAATACTGCAACATATTTATGCAGGGCCGTAGTAGTGAGTCTAGACTCCTCACTCCTCTGAGCTGCTGATATCACTACTATTCATCAGATATGCAGGATCTATGCTTTGGCAGTCAGTTTTCACTAAAGAAGTTGCTTCAACCAGATGTCATCTGGGCAGCTTCATAGGATCATAAGAAAGTAGAGCTGGAAGGGACTTCATGAGGTTATCTAGGCCAGTCCCCTGCTCAGGGTAGGATCATCCCTAACTGAACTATCCCAGTCGAGTTTTCTGGCTTACCTGCTCTTGAAAATTTCTGAGGATGGAGATTCTACCACTTCTCTAGGTAGCCTGTTCCAATGCTTGACCACCAACATAGTCAGAAAGTTCTTCCTAATCTCCAAACTAAGTATCCCCTGCTGCAGCTTGTGTTCATGGCTCCTAGTCCTGTCCCCTACAACCACAGAGAAAAGCCCATCTCCATCCTTTTTATAATTGCCCTTCAGGGATTTGAAGACTGTGGGAGGATTTGAAAACTGTCTTCTCCTCTCCAGAATAAATAAACCTAGTAATTTCAGCCTTTCTTCAAAAGTCTTGCTTCTCTGGCTCCTAATAATTTTTGTCACTCTGTACTGAATTCATTCCAATCTGTCAATATCCTTCTTGAAGTGTGGGGCCTAAAACTGGACATAGTACCTAGGTGAGGCCTCACCAGTGCTGAATAGAGCAGGAGAATCACTTCCTTTGGTTTGTAAACAACACTCCTATTAAGACAATCTAATATGCTGTTACAACAAGAGCACACTGTTGGCTTACATTCAAGCTTATGGTCCACTGTAACCCCACAAATCCTTCTACACACTACTGCAGCCTAGCGAATCATTCCCCAGTTTTTATTAGTGCATGCACTTCTTCTGTCCCAATTACAGGACTTTGCACTTGTCCTTGTTGAATTTCATCTGGTTGATTTTTGGACCATATTTCCAGTCCATCCTGGTCACTCTGGATCCCTGCAGAGTGCCTGTTGTTGTTTGCAAATTCCAGCCCACTTGTTGTTTGCAAATTTGCTAAACATGAAGTCAATCCAATCATCAAAATCATTAATGAGGAGGTTGCACAGTATCAGATGCAGGAAAAACCACTGGGGAATCCCACTTGATAGCTTCTCCCAAATGGACATTGAGCCATTGAGGACTACTTGTTGGGCACAATGATCCAACCACTTATGTATCCACCTTACAATACTTTTGTCTAGTCTGTTATTTCCTAAGCTTGTTAATGAGAATGTTGTGGGTGACAGTTTTGAAAGCCTTGCAAAAGTCAAGGTATATCACATCTACTGCCCTCCCCACAAACACAGAGTGGACAGACCTTATCACAGAAGGAAATCAAGTTGGTCAGGAATGACTCACTCTTGCTGAATGAATCCATACTGGCTGTTCATGATCACCAGGATTTTCTGTTCACCAGGATAAAATGTGATAAAATGCTGATTTTCTCATTTTAAGGGGAACCCCCAGATTTCCTCCTTTAAAGGAGAAAACATGGGAAATGGTGGGTTTTCCCTTGAAGGCTGGCAGAGTTCCAGCCTGCAAGGGGCTAGGAGGAGCAGGAGAAGGGCAGTCAGGCAGGGGGGCACATATGGCCACCAGGCAGCCTGGAGAGCAGCTCCTTCAGGTAAGTCTGGTGGTGGCAGGGGGATGGGGGGAATCGAGGCCCTCATAGTGAGGGTAGAAGGGAGTTGGACAGGGCTAGAGCTGGGGCTGCTGCACACCAAGTGGTGCGTGGGGCTTGGGGCCCAGGACCAGAATGCATAGCTGCAGGGCCCACGTGGAGAGCGAGATGGAGATGTGGGCAGCTTCTCTGGGGGGCAGGAGGGGCAGCTTCCCACCACTGCATACACTTTTGGGGGGGGGCACATGTCTCCAAGCCCCCCCAGATTTGTGTGTGGGTGGGGGTAGGTGTGGGCTGCTCACTGTGGGCTCAGGTTCCTTGCCATGAATGCTGCATGCCCCTGGAGACTAGGGGGGTGCACAGCAACCGCCTGCAGGTGACAGCGGAGGTGTCAGTGGTGGGAGCATGGCAGCAGTGAG